TTTTTACTACAAAAATCCAGAGTGATTACAAATGCAAAGAATATAAGAGCGGTATTATTTATGTGTCAGTTAAATAGACCAATAGAGAGTAAGCAAGTCAGATATTAAATTATATTTTTTAATGTTTATTTTTTAACAAACAATGTATCTTTAAAGTAGATTGTATATTTTTCTTATTCAAATTATTGTTAAATATTAATATTTATTATAGTATACATAATCAAATAATGATAATTAATATAACATAAAAATATCAAATAATAATTACTCTAAATAATCAAGTAATAATTATTTAAATAATATTGATATAATGTAATCCTCTGAACATAATGTTGTGTCGTCCCAGTAATAACATATCTACAGGGTGTCAGTTAGCTTTAAGTCATATACGTGTTCGGAGTAGCTCTATATTTACATGGATATGTATTTTTTTAAATATATTTTCGTTTTTGGCAAAATTCCAAATTCAGTGGATAGGTATATCGGGAACGTTTCACTGCAGTTAAAGAAATATTTTAATGTGAAGTTGATTTTACAGTGGCGGTGCCATGTCTAGAGTCATATTACAGCCATTAACAGCATGACAAACTCAGGATGTTAACCATCTCAACATGCTGCTAATAATAGTGGTATTAATATGCCTAATATTGATGAGGAGGAGGATCATAATTTGCTCCTTTTCGCCCGAAAAACTCCAAAATTTGGCTCTACAGTTTCCTGTATTTTTTTCAATTTGACGTCAATCTGATCTCTAACACAGCACGTATAACCAATGCCAACGAATGCGTGGTCTCTAAAATGATTGTATGAGATCACGGAACTGACAATTTAAAGATACTGAAAAGCTTTACAGTATTGTGAAGCAAGGTTAAGATGATGTTATGGAAAGGTTGTATGGTTGTACTAAGGTTGGATATTGATTAAAACTTGTTAAATGTGTTGTCTGCTTCAGCACCTAATTCAATTAAGCAAAGCAAAGTATGTGTATGACATCAAATCAACAGAAGGTCACGCATTGAACAATTCATTGATATGATATGATATATGACAAAATAAAATATATCACTTTATTTATACAGACATATACGTTGTCCCCATCGAGAGTGGAACACAAAACCATTTAATTAGCATGTCTGAGTTAATATATTCCCATTAAGGACACGTTGATTGTTTTATTATTATCATTAGATCATAGATCTATATATATAGTTTACTTTACATCTTAAATTTATTGATATAAAACGGTTGAATAATTAAATAACATAAAAATTAATTAATAATGAGTGTTAATTTTTTATTTATCGATTTTTAGCACTCCTACAACACAAATTTACAAGTGACATAAAGGCATGCAGTGGGAGTCTATTCTGATATTGCACGTACGTACGCGTCCCTGGTTGTCTAGCGCCCTTGTAGCGCGTATTTCGCGTTTCCGGTCCACGCGTTTCCGGTTCACGCGCATCCGCTTCGCGCGTCCGACAGCTGATTGAAATCGGAAGAATAATGTTATGTTAGTGTATAAGCGCCCTCTTACGTTGTAAATCCTCAAAATGGCCAAAACTTTCCAAAAGGGTCCTAAAATTTAAATTTCAGACACATACTCTACAAACACAGAATTATGTGAATTATTTATATACTGTGCATGATACCGTAATGATTAGCTTATAGTATATTGGTAATAAATTGCAGTAGGCCTAACTGTAGATAGATCATTTAAATCAAGTAAAATAGCATATAGAAAATGTGTGTAGGCCTACTGTTTCCCCTGGTTCTCAAACCATGGTGCGACTCAACTTTGGGCAAACTATTTTTACGGTTGCGAGACTTCTTTTGACATGAAAATGGGACTTTAGATAAGATCATGTCAAATCGGCAAAAGATTGACAAGCTATGCGTTTTTCGACCCAACATTAAGCACGATGCCCCTAAGACACCGCACACCTTTTGTGAAATTATTTATGTTTTTTAAGCAAGCCCTATAAAATGCTGACGATAAAATGTTTCTGTTTTTTAAATTTCCTTCTGTGCTACGTGTTGCCAATCATTGTTTGGACCAATGTATGTCTAGTTAGACTAGGTTGCCAGTGTTTTTAGATAAGGCTATTTTTGCATTAAAAAAAGGTAGGCCTAATTCTTTGCTTGGTTTTGAAATGGATTGGGCATTTCAGGCCTATTTTATTATTTTAACATGGTCCTGAAACATCACGCCCCCTACGACGTCCGTCTTTAAACCCGCCTCTATTGAGATTCTCGTCAGACCTTCATCCATCATTATAGCAACACCTGGTGACACTCCCTTTTAATTGCGCGTGTGTATGACAACACTATAAACGATAGAGATGTCTGTGAATTATGTTTTGTTTTAGGAAATTCACAACAAACAAACACAAAAAAGTAAGGTCAGTTTCATGATCTACAGTTGTTCTGCCTGATTTCATCACAGGAACCAATCGCTTCTTGTAATAAATTTGCCTTAACCATGGCAACGAAATTGCTTTGACCATCGTAAAATGTTGACCTTTGCGAAAAGTCAGGAATGTAGGCCTACTGTACCTCCATCAAAATTCCATCGATTCAGTTCAGTTGGGAAATTGTTGTTGTGGTTGAGAGCCAAGTTGTTATTTGAAGCAACTTTCTCCAACTCACCTACGGCGCAATAATGCAGTGGTAAATTTCATTTAAATGATTTTATAAGGTAAACAAACTCAAGTCGATCCACTTTATTTCTTTGTTTTTTTTTTTTTTGTTTTTTTTTTGTTTTTTTTT